TATTTTTGTTTACTTTTAGGGAAATCCGCTGTTTCTATGACGTCACATAAAGGTTTTCTTTACGTCGGCATTTGGAAGCAATAGTTTGGTATCAAAGTGCGACAAATATTGCGCGAATGATGCGTTTATCTTATCAAGGTCAATATATGATGGCCAATAAAGGATTCCAGGACAATTCTTATGGCATTTCTTCGTATCGCAATTCTTCGTCTGCAAATCTTCGTCAGGGCATTTATTCGTACCTATCGCATTACTTTGTCTCGCACCAGGGTATATGAAAATCGGCTCGCATTTCTTCTTCAACGCAAATATATGCAAGAGTAAGCATTGAGGGACAAATAAATACACCGACGAAGATTTGTAGACGAAGAAATGCGGACGAAAAATTGTGCTACGAAGAAATGTCATGCGAGGATTCGTTCGGGTACCATGACATTTATGTGATTTCAAAGTCAAGGTTCACAGCTGATCTGCTAAATCAAGCCAAGAATCCAAGCTATCAAAAAACTATAAATATTTGTTTGTCTGTCACAGAGGTCTCAAGCAATATAAGGTTGACATATGTTGGATCAAAAATCTACTGCCACAACTCACATCTCCTGCCTTAGTTTATCATTGTTGTTTTAACTTGCTTTCAAGAGAAACAGAAGCCAGTATCTGATATCACTTCAGATGATTGTTTCAAGATCTGAGTTCAAATGGAAATAAAAGCAAGATCAAGATGAAACAGGGATTATTGCTGTTAAAGTAGTTTGGCCATGATACAACAAGCACATAAATCATTAGCCAAATCAAATACTGGTTGGTTTGTCAAGATGTTTGTTGTCTGTCGTCTGTCGAGCTGCTATGAACACTGAACGCTCTCACTAGAGAGTAGTTTAAGTTGAATGGTAGTGAGCTGTAATTAGACAAAGCAGCTATTCAGTGCTCACATCAAGCCAGGCTAGGAAATGGCATCAACTGTGGTGGGAGGAAGCAGGTTCGGCAGCCCTATGTTGTAAACTTCTGTTATGTCTTGTGTTTGATCAACTGATGTTTTCTGCTCTGTTTTGTGCAGTGATAGTAGCAGGTAACTGCATGCTTGTCAAATTATGTGAATAAACGAATTCATAACATTGCATTTTTCTCTCCATGCAAGGAACAAGTAAGATGTTGTAGAAAATGTAATAGAGGGCTGCATTGCTGATTTTGCACTTTATCAGAGCTTTATTTAGAATTGCTTTCCTGAAAGCTACACACAGGCCACAGTGCTGAAATTCACAATGTCATAGCTTTTGGCAGAAAAAAGAAAAGACTTACCTAGGTAAAATTGGCTGAAAGTATGGCAGAGCAGGTCTCGATGCGTATGCCCATCCGTGTGCTTGCCGAAGCCGAACTGACTGCAACACATTTAACTCTGACCCACCATGGTGGCTGGCATATCCTGAACTTTCACCACTCTAAACAAGACAACTTTCAGCCCTCAGCATTGTATTAAAACACTGTACAAAACACTCAAAATTTGTTTCAGTGCCATCCACGGACAACATCAGTCGCCATTCACCAGGCCAGTAAAAACAGAATAGATAATAGCTTCAAACCCATGTAGTCAGAGTTACTAGGTCTGCACCTCAAAACAAAATCCAGGTGACATTCACCACGCCAGTAAAAAACAGGTACTTAGGTAACGTAACAGCTTCAAATCTGGTAACATGTTGGTCGGACTTTACACTACCATATTTACATGGAATAATATGATACCAAACAATAGTGCAACCATTCTGGACAACAAAAGTGTATGATAAAATTAATTTAGAATACTCTGGCAGCATGATTTACGAGCACAGGCAGGTGTTACCTACCAGCCTTCTCAATGCTCGTAAAACCAACATTGTAGTTTTGATTTTACCTTACATGATAACACACTTGGCTGCAATGGCACATTCAATTTAATACTGTGAAAAGACCAGTTATAACCACTTCACAAGCACAATTGCACCTCATGCCGACATCCTTTTCCAAAGACAGTCAGCAGCGTCTTTCGTCTAAACTGGAAGATAAATCCCCTTTCAACTGTTAACATCAAAAATATTTCTTCATGGTGTGACTGTGATCTCCATATGGAAACCTTGCAGGGAAAGAATTAATGTCAATTGTCAGCTCTTCAAATTTCTTTGGACTTTAACTTGCAGTACCATATCCAGTTTGCTTTGATATTTTGTTTTTTATTCCATGTTGAAGTTGAACACCAAGCTCCAGATATAGCAGGCAGCTTGATCATCTTCGGCCTTGGTATAATATCAGTCCAAGTTCCAGTGGTGGGTATCTACTATCTTCTAATATTCAAATTAAAATGAAAAGCAATAGGCTTTCTCAGCGCCGACGACGGATTTCACGTTGATAAAAAAGGGAGCTCAAGGTCAGCAAAACTCGGGTTCAAGGAATGGCGGGCGTTGAAATGACTGCTGACGTCATCAAAAAACCGCTAATGGTTAAGAGATAGGGACTAAGCTGGTCCCACCCTGCAAGTAAAGGGAAGAAATTTCTTGAACACCATAAAGCTGCGGGGGTTGCGACCAGGATAAATGGTGGTTTCTGAGCCTGGCCGCAAACTTGGCTATCTCAACTCAAAACTAATGTTAAGGTGGGATGGTCCCTTTAAGAGTTCCCTCTTCTTGCAAAACATATGACTATTTATATCCAGGTTCCAGTCGATGATCGATTGTCGCCTTGCATCTGCCTACGATACCTCAAAAGCCGATCACGACATATCAGTGTCACCCTCCTCATGGCGATATTTCGCAGCACCTGTCAGTACCGAGTAGCTTCCGCGGCTCCAGATAACAGATGCCACTGGAGCGCCTATGCCGATCACGGAGTCGGTCAACTTACTCCGCCAACTTGACGTGAGTGGATTAGGCGGCCGGACGGTCGCGCCGGTCGGTTTCGACTGTCCTGCGGCGACCTTTGACCGGGACCGGCGGCCGACCGATCCGGGGGTGCAGTGGTCGCGGGCCAGTAACGTGATTTGAGAACGAACAGACGGGAACGGTTCTAATGGGTGATGTCCGATCGAGGAGCGCAGGTATGGGGCCAAAGTCTGGAAAGGGATGTATTGGAGGACGCTCCTGTTGCTTCGCTTGTTGAAATGCGCCACTGCTGGTCTCATCCGCAGGTTGTTGTTTCACTATTATACAAACACTTTTCGTTAGAACTTTGAAGTTTACGCTATCGGCGGTAATAATCGTTATGAGTACGGCACGAATAGCGGGTCAGACTAAGCCAACATCTATCGTCATTCATCGTTGCACCATTATTTTGGCATAGACTTGGCGAATGTTGCGCAGATGACCACGTTGATTACCATATCGTAATCAACAAAACGTCGCCAAGGGCGGCATCTATAAATGCTGACTGTCAACGACGTAACATCAGTTACGGTTGCCGTAGCTCACGGGGGTCGAATGATATGTGGTGAGCTCATTCCCGGTGCTAAACTCTGGCGATGGCGATCAACTTCTCGGAGTCGAACTGTCGCTGACACAGTTCACACCGCGCCACCTGGGGCCCGCCGAGTCCGTGGCATTTACTCAGCAGGTCAAAGATGCCGGCCAGATGGTATTCTACTCGAGTTCTCGGCCAGTTCTCACTTACGGGCCAACATCAGAGACCAATGTAGCGTGTAAATTGCCGTACGTGTGTGGCGTGGCAAGACATAGTTGAGCTGACGCCGCCTTAAAAGACCATTTCTCGAGGATACGAAAATACTGATCCGGGGATGTTGGCGTTTCTTGCGGCGCCGATTGGGGCGAGGCGAGCCGAGCCGCTTTCCGTCGCCGCCGTCGGTGCCGACACTCGGACCGTGTCGCTGTATGCATCATCGCGTCCGACGAACACGGCGGTCTGACAAACAGTCGCGCCGCGTGTTCCGCCAGCGCGTCGGCGGAGCTCACACGTGCCGCTGTCCGGCGGACTCCGCTCGGAACAGCACTATGTCCGACAGACAAAATGGAGCGGAGCACCGAACAGACGGCGCTTAATGGACCACCGTTCCGCCATTGGAATAGTGAGGCCGTGTGGTTCACCTGTTTCCGATATTTCCATGGTAAAGCTCTTCCAAGAACTTACATGATGAGATTCAAATAAAGCCTTCCATCTACCACCTGGCCTTTAATATATTCGGATGCAGATACATCAATGCATGAAGGGTAAAAGACACCACGGATTATCTCAATAAACGAATGTGACTGTACAATGAAAGGTATGGCAGCTTTGAAACTATGTAATGACATTCTGCGGCTTGTCGTGTTAAAGCCACCTGATGTGATGTGGTTTCCGGAAGAACCCTTAATGGCCCACGCAGTTTTCAAAAACCTTGCATTGAATTACTGACGTGTGTCTGTTTGATTTTGAGGTAAGTCATTTTTTAACCTTCGTATAAAGCTAGTAAATGATAACTAAGCAGAGCATCCTATCTCGCTATGTCATCTAAACTTGACAAGATTCAAGTATTCCATGAATTTGGCTAGTGCAGCCGGTATATTGAGTGGCCCAATGCACGTGAAGGCAGCAAGGTTGAATAAAGTTTAACTGTCCTATGATAGAATATTAACAGTTGTAGCAAGTCGGTTGTCAATTAAAACTCGGGAAGTAAGCTGTCAAATGCAATACATTCGAGTTACAGATAGCTAAACATGCTGGAAAAAATGCACGAATCAATATCTTTGTCCGGTGGGGCCGGAACTGTGCCAAATATTTTAGTATTTTAAGCCATATGCATATCGCATCCCATGGCGAGAGTAGCTTCGATATCTTAAAATTCGCCATTAAATCACATGAAAAAAGCTTGGCAAAGTGACTCCCGTGCTCTAGACGGTCTAAACTTGGTCACGCTTCTTTCTCATTTTCCGGGCTCAGCTGATGTTCTTGCCTTACGCTACATGAGGTACAAATGAATAAAGAAACAACACAACGCACCGTTATTCCATCTTCTCCACTGGAACAAGCGCAGGGCCAGAAGATTCCTTCCCACTCTTTGTATTCTATGCTAATATGTACGCTCGCACAACGCTTCGTATGCATTGTAAATAGGATATGCTTGACACAACTTTACACGGGCAATAACACGTTGGATCATATAGACACGCTGTGAGATCAATGCCACAGTTCAACGCTCAACAGGTTGTAATTAGACGCACGCTCGCAGACTCAGTAACAATACCTTGCTTTACTTGGTGCGGTGCAGAGGTTCAGCTGCTCCATGTGCAATACGTCACAAACGAGGGCGACTGACAAACCTTTCGGCATTCGTCAACCGATACGAGGGCTACTCAAATATCGCTCCCTTCTGCTGCGTGTTAGGTATCATAAGGTGAACTAAATGACACACTAAAAAATAAAGCTAAGAGATGATTCAATGAGTGACGATAAGTACCAGTTTCCGGAAATTTGAACGAAATTCCATTGACATTCATTTAAAGGAGTGAGTCTGTCACTTAAATATGTGACTAGAAGTAACATCATATTAGATTAAAAGAACACCTTCATTAGTAACACCATGACTTTGTACAGATCACTGAAAACAAACAACACCTTACTAAACATTATTGATCAGTAATAACAACATAACTTGCCAAGCGCTCAATAACTTAAACCGTGGGGCCAGACTAGTGTTCGATTCACCCGTGATTGAATCGATTGTATTGAATCTAACAAAATTTGTTGAAGCAAAAAGGCTTTACGGTCAGGATTGTTTGATTCACAAGCCAAGACGAAATCAAAAGTATTGGAAATCAGGGTTAATTGAAAAATAAAAACGATTCATGGACTTTAAAAAATGTGGTGAGCGTAGTTTATTATCAACAAATGTTAAAACTACTGCCATGTGATGATGATTATGACAACAAAAAGAACACAACAAATATGTAGGTACTATACACTGATAACAAATATGTAGGTACTATCCCTGAATCAGGATAGCGATCAGGGATTAAAAAAATCTATCAGGGATTAAAAATATCTTATTGAAAAAAGAATCGTTCAATAACTCTTTGGCTGAATCAAACGTTAATCATTCCTTTTTTGTTTTGTTTTTGATTTTCTGAATCAAAAGGATTCGATTCACCAATTTTTTGAAGGAATTTAATGGTGATTGAATCGAGAAAAAAAATCAAATGAATCAATGACTAAATCAATCCAAAAAAGGTGAAACAATAACCAGTCTGCATGGGACCTTCAGTGTAGGGTCATGCTTTCCTCCAGCGTCTGAAAATAATTTGAATTTGTGTTTCAATTCGTGCAGGAAGAAACAACAAAATTTTGTTTTCGAAAACAGTTTGCTTTCATTTGCACAGCAACGCATGAGGGAAGGAAAACCGAAGTTATTTGAATTCAGAGACTTGTTGGGGAGTTGGTATTCTCCCACAGCGTTCATTACCACCTCTCTGAATCCGCCACTGCCAGCGCCTGCCCCACATGTTTTGACGTCACGGTGTCCGCCGCGGCACAGAGTCAGGGCCGCGCACAAACGACAAAGGACCCTGTTTGGGAAACAACACATGCACACACGCATACACACATACAAACGCCATCTCCGCACCGCCCTCAGACATGCAGACCGCACCTCAACCCGATATTTGGAGCTCACAACACCCGGCTGCGACAGGCTGTCAGTTCGCAGTTCGCGGTTCATTTGCATTAGTGCCATCTGGTGAGCGTTCGGGAAAGCTGTACTGTGGCGGTCGCTAACAGAGCGGCGCCGATAGCGAGCTCTGTGGAGCGGTGCGCGCCTGCGGAGGGCGGCGGCAGCTGGGAGCTCTCGGGTGTCTCCGACCTGGCGCGCTCTGTGGACGAGAAAGGACACGCGATATGGCGCTATCAAAGGTCGCACAGCGATACTCAGCAATCACAAAGAAAAAACGGGCAATTGTCCTACAAAAAAATCTAACCTAAGTCAGGTTATGCGCCGCCACTGCGCTTCGCCCCAGACAGTTAATGCTTCGGCAACGCTCTTAAATAGTGTCGACAATAGATTCATGTAAGTGCGTGCAACAAGCTTGCGCATATATGTACTCCTGTCTTTGATACATCATAGGTACTTCATTCGGCAGATCTCAAATCAACACAAAATATCGAATGCTATTCTCCGGTCCACTGGACCTCGAGCTGCGGTTTATCGTCGAAGGCACTTAACTGTATGACTCTTCAAACTCTCTGACACTTCCCAGTAGCGGCGGTCGAGCCGGGGCGGCGGTCAGCGCCTTTATCTGCCGACACGGGCCGGCTGCGGCGTTCCGCTTACCTGCACTATCGCGCGGACCATCCCGATTGTAGTGCTGCCGCTGCGGCCGGCGGTCGGCCGGCGCCGGCGGAGGCGGCCGCGGCGGCGTGGTCAGCGGCCGCTCGGCAGCCCGCGTGGCTGTCGGCACCGACACGGGACCCGTCACCCACAGCGCGACACTCCCACGCGGCTTCCGCGCGCCGGCGAGCAGGACTCGTCCCCTCTCCCGGCCCCTCCCGGTCTCCGGCACCGGGCCGATACCGATCCCGGCAGTCCGAGCTGCTGCTCAGCTATCCCTAGTCCCCGGAGATCGGCGCACCCTTCTCGGACCGGCCTGGGGAGCAGACGGCCCCTCCGACCTTTTCCCGTGGCCCTGCCCTGCACAGCGGAGAGGGCAGCTCTCCTTCCCATCCCGGCGGCGGAAGATGAACAGCACGATGGCCGGTGTCAGAGCTCCGTCATATTAATGGCCTGTTTAGCGGGCGACTGGCGACGGTCGCCGCGGTCGGCCTGCGGTCCCTCGGTGACAAACACCATCCATAATTGACACTGTTTTGTACGTCTGTCACTTGCACCTAACTACTTGTCTTCGTATCGATGCGCGTCGACTGACAAATGGAAAAATTATCGACACCCATCGCAGCGACATCCATCAATCTGCTCAGGAAATAGCTGTCGGCGTGCGTCGCCGGCCGCTCGTGGCTGGCTGCCGCCGTCGTCGGACTGGGGCCGGCACGCCGGGCTGGCCCTGGCTTCGGCCCGGTAAAGGTGGGGAGGAGACCTTCACTAAAGCTGCTCATTGCTCAGCGCACCCCAAATTTCAGTCAAAGATCCATTTGGATTCACACAATTTCTTTCATTTGCTCGCAATCAAATGAACAAAAAGTGTCAGTGGCACGTCACATTTATGCATTTGGAGTCAGTCGTGTGACAAATGCTATCAATTGCTTGCAACTACGATCATTGACCTATGGATAACACGAAATTTGGCATGACATTAATCGATTTTAGAATATTTCCCTTCCTCAAATGTCTCGGCGACGTGAGTCGTACAAACTTTTCGTCCATGATTCCCTCCGCCATAGCAACTTAGCAAAACCGGAATGCTGTGGATCCAAAAGCGACACCTCCACTCATCACCTACACCTACACAGTACACATACCCTTTACCTATGACCAATCGCGCCTCGCTGTCACGTTGATAGGCCACAACAGCTTCATCGGCACGCACACTCCCCGCCCACCGGGCTGACCATCAGTCACAGAGTACCATCATCGGCGCGCGCGCCGCCACTCGGACGACCAGCGCTCGTTATTTGCCCATTCGGAACGAGCGCGGCCATGATGACTGGACTTCTCATCACTTATCCGCAGCTGGGCCACTGTATGCGGCTCGACAGAGCTACTTTTCCGCGAAAGTGGGCGTTTTGTTTCCGAGTTTGAAGAGACGGAGTTCAAGTTTAAGACATTTGTCTTGCTTAGCGTAAGTGGTCAATGGGAGCAGTGGCATGAGTTATAAAACTGTTATATAAGTCTTTTAATTTGTATTTTCAGCACTATGCGTGTGCGCCGCTCTCGGCGCTACGTGCTGTCCATTCAGCCTGTGCTACGCTTTTGCTCCCTGATCAAAGCTCGGGCGCGGCGCCGAGCCGGTGTCAGCTGTCCGACCGCCTCTGTCGGTCTGGCGGTGTCTTCGGAGTGAGTCTCCTCTCTGGGTGCTCCTCTTCACCTCGTCCGGCGTCCAATCTCCATGTTCCATTTCACATACAGGCCGCGGCGCATTCGTCACCTGCCGACTTAATTAACGCGCCGGTGACGGTATCAAGCGCGGTATTGGTGTAGCTTCTTGCTCGACACGCTCCCCCGCGGCCGGCCGCCGTTATAAATGACGCTCCTAATGACAGGCTGCGGCACGGCCGAGCGGGCTCCTCGTGTCCCCCGCCCCCGCCCCCGCCCCCGCCCCCGCCCCGGGTGACGCGCCACCCACGGGCGCCCGTGCCCTGGGCGACTCAAATGACCGCCATATGACCCCCGTGACGAATGCTGCTACTTCAGATAGCGGCCGGTCAGATCAAACCAGAATGAGCCGGCATTGACGGCAATTTTACTATCAGATGACGTTGTTCTGGCGCACAGAGCATGCTTGCTGATCGATGGACTTTTTGGCACTTGATATATGGTTATCTATGAGCTGTCATAATATAACAAGCTGCGTGACTAAGTCGATAAAAACTGCGATTAGGTGGACGCACCTCAATATATCCCTGCTCATGAAATCAACTTTTTTTTTGTAAAATATAGCTTATATTTGGGTTGCATGAATTGGAACTGATAAAGCTCACGTATCCGAAGTTTTTCTTTCATTTTGAGCTTTGTCCACTTTTCACACCTTAATGAAACAGGCCTTTCGTATCTGCTGATTATTGTTCCAGTCACGGTCGATTTGGCAGAAACTACCGCCTCTTTTAACCTTATTCAATTAGTCTGCGTTCCTAGCCGTACGTCTCAATATCTCAACATCTCCAAAAATAGCGCCGCACTGTATTTACAATGGGCCCGTTGAGGTCCGTCGGCGGTTTGCCGGCCGGTAACGGATCGTCTCTAAACTGGCCGGCTAACGTAGCATCCCCACATGACCAGCTCTAACATCGCGCATCCCCGCCCTATCATTGGTAAATTATGGCGGCATATATTTCGCTACCCCATTCTGCGGGACGATTTTCCATCGCGGCAACTCCCTGGCCGATCCAGAATGCATACGGAATGAGGCGGGGAAAAACGGCGCCACTGGTGCGCGCGTAACTGCACCTCTGGGCGCGCGCGGTCCCCAGGGGCGCGGCCGCGCCGGCACCTCTCCAATATAATCGCCACACGACCGGCCGGCCGGCCACACTGCCGGCCGCCGCAGATGGAGAAAATAAATGTAGCAGTGCGAGAAATGAGGCAGCAAGCGGTAGATAGATGCGCCGGGAGATTTGCTCTCGGACGTGTCCGTCACGCGCGAGCCGCTCCCGGGGGAGGGGAACGGAGTCGCGGCAGCCGGACGCCGCGGCACACGGCCGCCCCGTGAGAGGGGAGCACCGGCAGGGCTCGGTGGGGAGGCGGGGGCCTGCCGAAGGGTGGTGGGCATAGACATTGGGGAATCCTCTGGGGAGGACAGGCAGACAGTCGAGGAAAATGGGGAGAAACGCATCATTGTGTGGGGTCATTGTCGCGAACGGTAAAGGGTCTTCTAAAACAACGCATTTTCGCACATGTGTTGTTGGACAACGCGATTGTTCTTGTTCACGTTCAGCACTTTGCATTGCAAAATAAATTTCATCCACAATAGATGTAATTACTAATTGTTTTGACATTGTTTTGTCATGACTTCAGATAAACTTGATCAACTTCGTGGAATAGAGTAGGCACACTGAACTTTTATGAGGCACCAACAACAATGAATCTACACTAACGAATGAATCTACACTAACAATGAATCTACTCAGCGCAAGTTAATGATACCATCTCGCAAACCAACACGAATACTCACCGTATACTCGTATCGTTTCCTCCGCTTCTCCGAAAGGGTTCTTGGAGACACATTTATATAGACCAAAGTCGGGCTCCGAAAGTCTTTCGATTGTCAGCGTCATTCTGTGGACAACCAAAATAAGAATTGATGTCCAACTTCCTCTCAATATGAAATGCAATCCATTCGTGCGATGATTAGGCGGCACATGCGTATACGAAGTGATGGGCAGTTCGATTCTTGGTGGTGAGACGAGTGTGCTATGCTTTATCTCAATCCGTTTGACAAACGCGTTCCAGCGCACGATCTGAGAGAGACGTTTGATTGGAAGATCGATGTTTCCCGATCGGCGAGCCGGTGGCCAGCTCTTCTGATGTTCTTACCACAGGACGTACCACTCAACTAATTTATCGGAGTGGTCCGCCGCTTTTGATGCTCTATAAAATGTGCAATTTGCCAGATTGAAATGCAATCCACTACAGACAGTTTTCGGGACACCCAAAGAAAACACTGTGCTTACAAATAAAGCGGCAGTTGCTGATGCTTTCAAAGGGAGGCATCCGCATCCTATTTGCATGCCTATGCTAAAATAATCCTAAAATACATCTCTGATTCCTTAGGTCGAATGTTAAGTAATGCAAGGCTAGAACCTCTGAAAATGCTTAAGGATTGTTAAGTAAACGGTTAAACGAAGTAATATTTAACATTGAACATTACTTGTAATAAGGTGGCGAAGTAGGTACTAAAATGAGCAGCATGATTGAATATCGTAGATGAATAACCGTATGCTCACTATCTTTCAACAATCCAAAATTAGCCTAATATGAATGAATATATTTCGGAAATGTTCCTTCTTCAGTTCAAAAGTTAACTATATAAGCCAAAGAAATGTACAAATTACCTGAAGAAGGAACGTTTCCGAAATACATTCATTCATATTAGGTTAATTTTGGATTGTTTAACCCTCGCCCGCACATGCCATTTTCCCATCCTAGAACGCACATGGGGGGGGGGGGGGTGGTTGCCACCCCCCCGCGCCATTTCGTTCCTGTTGGAGATAGAGCTTCGCGGTAAAGATAAAAAAGATTCTTTGGGAAGAGACGAATCCAATGATACCCAGTTTTACCTTCTCAGGTCAGTCATTGACCTTCCAGGTCAGGTCAAACTAAAAAATGTTGCTGTTTTGGGTCTCCGTTGGATATCAAGTGCGCTGCTTATCATATACCGATGATGATGCCATTTTCTAGTGCCAAGCCAGCTAGAACCTCTTTGTCACACTACCCGACCAGGTTTTTGCCGCTGAGGTTATTTCAGGTCAAGTTAGGTCAAGGTCAATGATATGTGTTTGTATGTCTGTGTGTGTCTGTGTGTATACTGATGTGTGCACCGATTGTTTATGTGTCCATATTGCATGAAATCATGATCTGAGAAGCTCTCAAAAATGCAGTCAAAAAACTTCACGAAAAGTAAATTTAGCTTGCCTAAAACGCAATTATTGTAGATGACCTAGGTTGACCATGAGCCTGACCTTGACATCTCTGTACATCGTCGAACAACATGTTCCATGATAGGTTGGAGGTAACATTGGCAAAAAAGGCCGAAATGAAGGTGTCAAAAGCTCACAAGGCCCATAGCCAACGCAAGAAGTTGAGAATTGGTCATTTGGGTCATGACATGACCTGAAAAAACAAGGTCATATCTCCGAAACCAAAAACCACAGAAACTTGAAATTTTCAGTGGACATCAAGAAAGGATAGAGGAGCAGCTATACCAAACATCAGGCTTCTAGCTCTAAAAATGTTAAGTGCAGAGCAGAAAGACTATGTGGGGGGGTGGCCCCCCCTGTCTATTTTGTATAACACTTTTCTCCACGATGCCGTGCAATGCATTCATATAACTTCGAATGTCAGTATTCAGTATTGAACATTAAATTACTTCGATATCACTGCCTGTTCTACCCGCTATGGAATATCTCAAGTGACAACCCCTATGTGCGGGCGAGGGTTAAAGATAACTAGTGAGCATACGGTTTTTCTTCTACGATATTAAACATTACTTTGTGAATTGATCCACGCAAAGCTGACCTTCAAGAATAATGCTATCATTGCGCTCGATATTTTCAATTGACTGACTTGTTCACGCATCCTTTCAGCTGTCGATATGACATCTGATGACGTGACATCAACAGCAGCCTGATGTTCGCTCTCTGTTCGCTCTGTCTACCGACTCGGTGAGTGTTGCAACAGAGCCACGTCTGTCTCCGCTCACCCACGTCTGTCTCCCGCTCAACTATCCATCCTCTGTTCACCCATCCCACGGGATCTTTCCTCCCCTCCGGCGCGCCACTCCGGGTCCGGACGGCACCTCGGCGGTCCGCGAGACCGACCGGCTCGTCACTCACGTGGTCCGGAAGCCGTTGACAATTTCCTCAATGTGGTGCGTCCTGGCGGCGTTGTGCAGCAGGATCTTGTCCTCGTGCTCCCAGTAGTGCATGGCGTTGGGCGCCGCCTCGGCGTGGCATACCATCCGCACGGAGGAGCCCACCGGCGCGCCCAGCAGCTGCGTCTCCACCCGGATCGACGGCGGAACTGGCGGAACGGGGGAGGGGTTGGCTTTGGTAACTGGGCTTGGGGTTTGGGTGGTATTTTGTGCATCATCAGAGTAAAGGAAAGTGGGCGAGCCGTGAGACCGAGACGCATCACAATAATTTTACCGCCTTTGTTCTTCGATATCTTTATACAAAGAAAAAAATCTACATGAATTTGAGCTACAAAACTTTTGAAAAAGTAAAGGACAAGTAAGTAGGCAAAGTGCGATCACCCAAATGCATGATTGGCTGGCTTTAGGTTACAAATGGAGTGGCTACTCACATTTCACCTTGAGTGTGATCATCTTGCTGGGCGACGGGGGCACGCCGTTGTTGGCGATGCAGAGGTAGGCGCCCATGGCCTTCCTGGAGACGTGCTTCAGCTCCAGACTGGAGCTGTTGTGCCTCAGCACTGCCGGCGGAGCGGAGAGGGAGGGAGCTGTCAGTCCGTCAGTCTCGGCCGCCCAAAAACCGCCCCCGTCTCCCCACCACGGCGGCTGCCATTAGTGGCCGGTCAGAGAGTGGTCGGTCGGGGTGGCGGCTCGACTGTAAGCCCGGCGTCAAACGGCACAGTGGGTCCAGTTAGGGCCACCAGAGAGCGTCAAAGGAGACTCGGGTAGGAAGACCAGCATGAGACAAAATGACGCCAAAGGATGCAGACGGAAGGGTCAGCGTCTGTCGAATGAAATTCGGTACGGAGTTCGGCCAGAACTGCCCAGCAGTGGGTGTATTTTAGGCTCCTCAAACGAGACAATACATATTCTACAATCTAAATGAAGCAAGCACTAAGGTATTTTTTTTGTAAGGAAGAACAAGCGATAATTGTACCTTCCACTTTGAATCTGATCCTTGAATTTTTGTCGTCTGCGCTTGCTAACCTCAACAAAATGTTAAACATTGTATAACATTTTTTTTTGTACGATGCTGTGCAATGCCGTAATACAACTTAAAAAGTCAATCCTGAACGTTAAATTATTTCGATTATCACTGCCTGTTCTACTCACTATGAAATATCTCAAGTGACAACTGACTCCATCTCCACTCATCTCGCGACGTGTCGCCGTTGGACAGTGTCGTAGCGCGCCTGAGAGCGGTAGCGCAGCGGGGCAGGATGTGTGCGATCGGTTCGGACAGACCGGGAAATGGTATTAAGACACACAGCCGATCTGTGCTCATATCCGGCAGCTAAACGACGCCGAACCGCCGCCGCTTCGGCCCGCCAGGAAACGCCCTAATTTCCGCTCAATTCCCAACTGGTTCACCAAAACTGTTACATGGCTTTCAACGTCAACTGAGTGACATAGTGCGCTTTGGTGTTTTATGAAAGGGATGAATGGCGATGCTCGTATGATCATTCGTCTGTGAATGTTAGAACAGGTCAGCGTGCAATGGGGAAATTAGCCATACTGTGTTGAAATTTTACTCGGATATGCAGACATCCTGTACTGATCACTGCAAAACAGACCAGTACTGAGCACCTGTATCTAATTGATTATTTATTTCTCTTGAAACGACAGAAAAAGCCATCCCAAAGTTGCTTGCAGAACTTCATCGGCTGGCATTCTATACATACTTCTGTGGCACAAAACATCTCAATTTGACTTTCAGACATTCAGCGCGTCCTACCGTGAACATCGGTCCCCGGCTCACCCGGCGCGGTGACTTTCCGTTTTCATGCTCACTTACACAGATGTAAAGCCGAGACATTATCGGCGGAGCGAACACAATGGATTTGACAGAGCACGTGTTAACTTGCCAACTTCTTAAACTGGCCGCGCTATTAGAATCAATTTGGAAGCTGCAGCCGGGCTAGTTAGACTGGGAAAAAGCCGTCGGGTCGCGGCGTTATTGCGTGCCGAGCTGGCAGTAAAATGTTTACCCGCGCGGCCGGCCTGCCGTTTGGCCAGCGTTCGAGCCGTCCCGGCCGTTTCGGACCGGGGGAGACAGAGCCGCGCTCGGCCCGCACCCACAACTCGACACGGCTGCGTCCCATCGGCCGCAGGAAACAGCTCGGCGGACGGAGCGGAGCAGCGCGCCAGTGGCCGACTGCCTCCCCAGCAGCCATTAAACAAGATTAACAGCGTCTAATGTGACTGTTTTGAAGAGCTTCTGGTGCGGACCACAACAGCGGCTGTCGGCAGAGAGCGCCGGCGTCGAATCTCTCAATTTCACACCGCCTCCCGCGCCGCTGATTGAATCTCAAACTGCCGTGCTCGGTGTCTTCGCATCAACTGAGAACTTGCCAGCTGAGAAATGATGTGACTTTTTGTACCACAACGGAGCGGTGGAATGACAACAATTGTGAATTACATCAGGTAAATAAACCCTCTTAAGTGCTCAGCCTTCTGAAACAATTTATCAATTTTTCTAGCACTCTCTCTCTCCTCAACCCTGGTACCTGGGCACATCCTCCCGTCCCTGTCGTCATCTGGCCTGTTGACGTATAGATAAGTCGGTTATCCTCCAAGTCTTCTCTTGGCCTGTTGACGTATAGATAAGTGTTATCCTCCATGTCCTCACCTGGCCTGTTGACATAGATGGGTCGGTTATCCTCCCTGTCCCTGGCCTGTTGACGTATAGATAAGTCGGTTTTCCTCCATGTCCTCACCTGGCCTGTTGACGTAGATGGGTCGGTTGTCCTCCCTGTCCTCACCTGGCCTGTTGACGTAGATAAGTCGGTTGTCCTCCCTGTCCTCACCTGGCCTGTTGACGTAGATGGGTCGGTTGTCCTCCCTGTCCTCACCTGGCCTGTTGACGTAGATGGGTCGGTTGTCCTCCATGTCCTCACCTGGCCTGTTGACGTAGATGGGTCGGTTGTCCTCCATGTCCTCACCTGGCCTGTTGACGTAGATGGGTCGGTTGTCCTCCATGTCCTCACCTGGCCTGTTGACGTAGATGGGTCGGTTGTCCTCCCTGTCCTCACCTGGCCTGTTGACGTAGATAAGTCGGTTGTCCTCCCTGTCCTCACCTGGCCTGTTGACGTAGATGGGTCGGTTGTCCTCCATGTCCTCACCTGGCCTGTTGACGTAGATGGGTCGGTTGTCCTCCATGTCCTCACCTGGCCTGTTGACGTAGATGGGTCGGTTGTCCTCCCTGTCCTCACCTGGCCTGTTGACGTAGATGGGTCGGTTGTCCTCCATGTCCTCACCTGGCCTGTTGACGTAGATGGGTCGGTTGTCCTCCATGTCCTCACCTGGCCTGTTGACGTAGATGGGTCGGTTGTCCTCCCTGTCCTCACCTGGCCTGTTGACGTAGATAAGTCGGTTGTCCTCCCTGTCCTCACCTGGCCTGTTGACGTAGATGGGTCGGTTGTCCTCCATGTCCTCACCTGGCCTGTTGACGTAGATGGGTCGGTTGTCCTCCATGTCCTCACCTGGCCTGTTGACGTAGATGGGTCGGTTGTCCTCCCTGTCCTCACCTGGCCTGTTGACGTAGATGGGTCGGTTGTCCTCCATGTCCTCACCTGACCTGTTGACGTAGATGGGTCGGTTGTCCTCCATGTCCTCACCTGGCCTGTTGACGTAGATGGGTCGGTTGTCCTCCCTGTCCTCACCTGGCCTGTTGACGTAGATGGGTCGGTTGTCCTCCCTGTCCTCACCTGGCCTGTTGACGTAGATGGGTCGGTTGTCCTCTCGCCGCCAGGAGATGGCCGGCGCCGGCTGACCCTCGGCGTGACAGGTCAGTCGCACGCTCTTGCCCTCGTGCACGGTCACCTCAGAAGGACTGCTACGGTTGTCCACGATTATAGGCGGTACTGGAAAACACGCGGTAAAACACCGATGAGCGGCTGAGCTTATTGGGGTTTATCGGTTGTTGAAGGCTATTGGCTATTGCTGAAATTGTAATCATATTTTTGCATCCTTTATCAATGATCTTCATATATGGATAATGGATATGGATAATTATTAAGCTATGGATGATTATTAATTAGTGATGTGCCCTTTCTTGACAAAGTTATCTATAGCACCATCGCAATTTAATGAGACAGAGAAGTAGTTCAAAAACTAAAAGCTTCTTTACAACACATTAATTTAACCCCTGTGGACGTCGTATATGACACGGGTAATGACAGTGGAGGCCATCGTGCCACCAATTTCAGCGGTAATTCTCTCCAAAATGTCATCAAATGGTGCCTCTTGTGACAGATTTAGTGTCCCCACTACCCTGGTGAGAATAGAGAAATGATCTCAAGAAGCACTACATGATGAGAAAGATAATCCTCCCTTTGTATAGACTTCTTATTGGAATGACTTGGTAAGTGCAAAAGACCCACTTTTGCTAAGATGTCCGAGAACACAAATGACGTCCTTAACCCTCGCCCGTATTGGTGTTTTTCCAGCCGCGAACGTATAAGGGGGGGGGGGGGTCCGTTGGACCCCCCCCTTGCCATTTCGCCCCTGATCGAGCTAGAGCTTCGCGGTAAAAACGAGCGTGTTGCCCGTGACGAGAGGAAGCCGATGATACCTAATTTTAAGGTCCTAGGTCATTGGTTGACCTTGCAGGTCAGGTCAATGACCCAAAAGTCGGGAAAATCGGGACCTGTTAGAAGGTCGTAAAGTGTGGCTGTTATGGGGTTTTTCGGGGCGCTGATCACGAATATCATGTTAGTTTTGATCACAGATAATGTCTTTATGCATTTAGTCCAGGTCGGGTCAGGTCAGGTCAGGTCAACCAGTAGGGGTCCTGCCGGGTATTCCTAGTAGGTGTCAACCACCTCTGACAGCTTCGTAACATGTTACGAAGGCACCAAAACTACTTCGTAAATGTTCATATGGTTGCTAAATTCGAATTCAGCTCCAAAAACTGGCCTAGAAACATGTAAAACTTGAAAAAGTGAACCGAGGTCACCAAAGGTCCATGACCTGACCTGACCTTCAGGTGACCTTAACACCCACCCTAATGCATGGGGGCAACATCATATCACATGTTTGAACGCTTGAAACCACGAAAAGACAGCAAACGCGCGGCTAATGCGAGCCGACATACGCCGAATCGCGATTCTGGCCAAACATGGTCTCGAAAAGTAGGTCACAGGTCAAAGGTCATTGGGGTCAGGGTCATGAAATTTTCAGGGTAGGTGTAAAATTGATTAACGCGAGGGTACTGAAAGTTTCGTCGCGATCGGCCGCTTTTTACGCGAGTTATTCGCGAAAAACCATGGGGGGGGTCCGTTCGACCCCCCCCCCCCTATACGGGCGAGGGTTAAACCTGAAATTGCTCGTTGACGCTCATGCCCAACTCTAATAAAGTATTTATAACGAAGCCGTGGGTGTGAATAAACGACGATGATAATTTATTAAGGAATGAACGTTCAGTAACTAACACATATTTTAAGCCGACAGAATCAGCGCATCATTATGCGTGCAATTGATTTGATGTTTGAATCCAACTGTAAATGTATACTACTGAAGTATACGAGGTTAAATGCTGTCTCAAAATATGCGCATGCTTAGTTTTAGGGGCATCATTGATTCATTTTCTTTGTCTTCACATGTTTGACCAAAGAAATGACTATATTGTGCGGTACGTATGGAGGTAATGTCCTCGCGATGACCACGACTAGGCGGCGAACTGAACTCAGCAGTTTAGTCAGACGTAGTTCGCGTCGATAAAACAGCAAAACAAGCCGGTTTGGATGCTTATATCTCAGTTTTCCTCTGAAAGGCTTATTAGGGTCAAATCCACCCCAAAAATATGAAACCCTATATACAAGCTCTGAGCCGTTTTTGCCAGATATCTGACCGGAGCAATCTGTTCTGCCAAATGCGGCGTGCGTGAGGCAACATTTTGGACCGCCCTGAAAGGCTGGATTTCCGTAATCTAGCACGAAACGGTTTATCATTGGGATTGGTCTATTGTTGTGGAGAAGTGGCGAATAACTCACACCACAAGTCCCCTGAGCTGGGGCACATTGCACGACGCCAATGCCCTTTGTAGTCGTTAGAAAAATTCATTCCGTGGAAACTTTGACTGGTGAACAATTAGGCGGGAGATATTTCAGGCAGCAGTTGGCTTAAACAGCTGGCTGCTGAGGCAGTTGAGGCTCGTTATTTCTGCCGGAGACACGCCGTACCTAACCCCGGAACTATAAAGCGGACCATCGCCGGGAGCACCGCACCACAACAACACTTGCCTGTGTAATCAGGTGTTGACCTTTTGCAATTGGAAACTGAATAGGAATGCAGCAGGCAGTCGCAACGATGTAATGGAATGCTCGGACCCGGATTATTGGAATGAAATCGAGGATCACAACAGACTTTTCCCTCGCTCCCAAGTTTTGTATACCTAACTATTAGAATTTCTTTCACACCGTGAGGAGCAAAACAGGTTACACGGATATTTTTCCTCTTCCATTGTTGCTGAACAGAATAGCTCTATAAGCCCATGCTCTTTGAAAATTAAGTGGCCATTCTGCACGACAGTCTGAATATTTTTCTAAGGAACGTATATATTTGTTTGCCTTTAGCATCAACTAAGTATGTACTCCGGCCATTTAGCTTACTACATTGTTTGTCATTGGACTCGTAGCCTGTCGCATAAATGACATTACAAAGAGGTGAAACAATTTTTACAAGGTCTATGAACCTGTCAGGCCTTGCAGAGAACCGCACAAGAACTGAAACGGCTATTATGCTTTCATGTTTCGGCGCAAAGCTGAATATAGAGCGGACGGCCGCGGACACGGGTGCTCTCGGTAACAAATGCTCCCGCAAGCCACGAATATCTTCCAGTAACAAATGTTCGCGTTAGCTGGGAATATCTTGGTGTGGCCGTGGACTCGAAAGCTACCGTGTCGAAAACTTGCAGCCACCTTCAGCAGCCTCTCTGTCCAGCCGAATATTAATGAGCCTCTAACTAGCTAGCAATCTGCAAACACTTGTCGGCATGACCCTCTGCTCACGAGTGCCTCCGTAGTTCAGTAGCGGTCCCCCGGGAGAGACTGCGCCTGGTGTGAGCGATGAGAGGTCATCATTTCCAGAGACCAGCCCGCTATAATCTGATCGGCAGCAGCTGCCCCCGCTGGGAGCCGACCGAGCTTTCATCGTGCAGCAAACTGCGGGGACCTGCAGTGTATTCTGTTGGACACTCGCAGATGTCAATAATAATAATCGGCAGATTATGGACCATTCTCCATTTTGCAGGTGGTTATGTTACTCCATGCTTGAGAATGGGCGTAAATTAGTCGCATGGAAGAAAACAGCAGAGGAAACGTCATGGGCATTTTATGAGAAGATATTGCGGGCAGGGACCTAAGCCAGAAAGGCAATTCATTAAATGAAAATAATAGTCCTTCCCCTTGGAAAGAGCATTTTGCCCTTGACGTAAGTCATGCGGTTCACGAAAATCTATTATGATATTATTTATTTCATTTGTCTTAGGAGATCAAGTACTCATTCAAACGTCGATATATTGTCGAGTTTTTTTTAGGGCATGGGACTTTGAGTTGAAATGTGATAGATTCCTTTACTCAAGTCTCAAAGAGCAGACAAATATGGCAAAAACTATCAATGTTAAAAAGAAAAACATTCAAGCATGGTTTATATGAGCATACAACAACATATGGCGCGGGAACCGGAGGGGGACGGTGGGGGCAGCCTGCCCCCCCCCACTCTGGGGCCGGGGGGGGGGGGTTGTCCCACAACTTTGAAACGGAATACCGCACTTTTTATGCAAATGTTTTCTTTTGGTTGAAAAAGTCAAGGGATGAAAAATAAGTGGCCTAAAACCGGTAAGAAGATTTGGGAGTATTTAGGCTGATCTCTATTATGGTTGCCCCCCCTCCCCCAGTCTGAAAGAAGTTCCCGCGCCCCTGTATAACAAACCATATCGATTCACAGTGAAATATTGCTTATATGATGTGGCATGGTTGCACAAAGTGGGCTTTCCGTGCCGAAAGACCGACTGGCGAGGGTCTTTGGTCTAAGGCGAGACTGCTAAGCCACTCTCCGTGACTGAGGAACGAGATAGCGCGCTGCTGAGCAGTAAGTCTCAGCCGGAGCTCTGCGCTGTATCTGCCATCTCTGCCCTGTCCCGTCGCCTCTTCAGCCGCTCGCTGCTGCCGGTTACTGTGCAGCCTCACGGCAGCCTGTTTGTCCAAACAGACCCACGGTCATCTAGTTTGCGCCGCCGCGCTGGGACGCTCCCCCGCCGACATGTGTTTCAATTACGGTCATCGGCGTGGCCATAAACTGAACGGCTGAGCGCTAACCCCGATTTAGGATTCGGCGGCGCCCCGGCACCGATGGATTGATGATGCATATTGCAGCGCGGCGGCCAGCCTCCGCGCGGTGGGCTGGCGGAGGCGGTGGAGGCAGCGGGGACGCTCGGACGCCGGTAAACAGGCTGCTCCGGCTGAGGGTCCCCCCGGCCTCGGAGTGGCGTGATTCCGGCGCCTCTGGGACGCCGCCTCGCAGCGCCGACCCGGCGCGAATACACAATGTCCGAGCGCTGTTGTTGTGGTGTTCCATTCCACCCCCAGCGGGGTCGACTGGAGACTCGGGATAGAGACACACTCCGACCCATCTCCATACACAAAAACACCGCCACAAACGAGGCAGCACCGCCCAGAGACACCAATCTGCCCTATGTGCAAGCGGCTCAAAACTGTTTCAAAATGCGAATGGTGTTCCTATGCGATCTTAGACTGATCCGGAGCCACAAATTGTCTGCTGCACTCATTTATGTAATATCGTTGGTTCAGCTTGACTTTTTGTGATCCAGTTAAGTCAGGCAGATGTAGGATTGTTGAATATTGATGCTGCTACTGCTGTAGAGTTCGGAATTCGGATCTCTTCGGCTTGATCCGTTTAGAGCAATGCTAGGCAACAGTCACACTTCAGTTTATGTGTGTACATACATGATATGATGATAAGATCAAGATGATAGCAATGAACAGCAACACATGGTGACTAGACCTTATCCAGGCCTTGTCTCGATTTAAGGAAGCTGTAACAAGCACACGATGCTCCTCTCGCTTCTGACCTTATCAGCAAATCTGATCACGCCAATTTTCTGTATTGTGAGCAGTGTTTCACCCTTTACTGCAATAACACATTGTCAGGGATGACGTCATCAATGATTGCAGTCTGATAAGCCGTTTGGATAGTGACCAGTGACCACACTTGTCATAGATGACCTTGGGTCTTCGCCTTAACCTTTACGATGGGTGCCGAGGCCGACAGATTCGTAGCATATATGGCTAGATATCGATGAGTGTGTGTGTGTGTGTGTAAGATAGGCCCACCATATCTGGGAAACACGCGTCAACCATGTGACTAAGGCCTGCCGATTGATGTCTATCAGTCGGCCGCGTCACACGGAGAGAAAAGTGACGTCAGGAGTCTATTGACAAGTTTAGCGATAGAAGACATTGACAAGAGATAGTTTTGCTTTCGACGACAGAAGTGAATTCAACGGAACTTACTGGCCATTGACGTCACAGTTTAACACTCGCCGATAACAACATTAGCCGTTTTCACGACGGGCTATCCGGCGAATGCACCTGATTTGACCAAATCTGCACCTAATTTCTTTTACAGCAAATATCTTCTTTTTATGAATTTATTTCAGTGTTTTAATCGATGATGCTCTCTGATAATATGACAAAGAAGGCATATAAGCAATTAGTGCAACCCTAGCTGATAGCTGCTAAGAGACACACTGAACCTGATTTGACCAAATCTGCACCAAATCTGTACCAGATGTGCACCAAATGTGTACCAGATGGCCGTCGTGAAAACGGCCAATGTCTCATTAACTTACTTACTTAAACATCACATATTAGCAATCTCCGACCACAGTGATAAAAAGTTTTTTTAACTCGTTCACTACAGTGATGTCACATTTCTTCACTCACCGACCACATTGACGTCACGCTGCCTCACTCACCGACAATCATTGACGTCACGTTCCCTCACTCACCTACCAGTGACGTCACGTTCCCTCTCGCTCTCCAACCAATGACGTCACGTTCCCTCTCACTCACCGACCACGGTGACGGTGCCCTCCTGGGTGAGCATAGGCTCTGTGTTGACCTGACACATGTACACCCCTCCATCCTCCTTTTTGACGTTGCGGATTTTGAGCGTCCACGTCTTCTGTCTGTCGTGGTGTACGGTGAACTGGGGCAGCTGCGTGATGAGCCGCTCACCAATCGAGATCAGCGACTGCCGGTCCAAGTGCAGCCAGGCCACCTGCAGGGGCGAGCAGATCAAAGTAGCTGTCAGTGCACGTGTCATTGAGTGCAGGGATGCGTTTGGGATGAGACACACATGCTTCTGATATGACGCTCTGCCTTTGGGTGAGGTTATAAAAAATGGCATAATGACTAAGAAACATTCAATCGTATATGAATTATACTCAAACGATCAAAGATCTTATAAGTGGAGTAAGAAGCGTGTGTTGGCGAGACCACCTTCCACTGACTATATGGCGGTGGAACACCGCTACGTGTGATGCGTACATACAAAACAAGTCACCCATTTGCCGGTGTTACTGCGATATGTAGTGTGGTATTCGGACGTTGAAGAGAGTATAGCGTTGTGAGGAAAATCATCATGATGATCATGAGCATATTTAATTGACCGAATCCTCAATATGATCTGAATAAAATGACAAAATAGCAAAAATTCGGGTATATTCGATCTCAGATCTTTCTCAACCGATACCAGCGACCGATATCAGTCAACCGATACCAAGATCTGTGATTGGTTATACCCGGATTTTTGCTATTTTTGTCATTTTATTCAGATTACATTTAGGATTCGGTTAATTAGATATGTTCATAATCATCATGATATTCTGACGGTTAAATGTAATAATATGAACATATTATATCAAACAAAATAATATTCGTGAACCTTTCCTGAAGTGACCATGCTATCATTGAGGTATAGCTATATGATCGGATTTTTTTCATTAAATACAAAATGTAAATTCTTGAGTCTCAATCACGCCGAGTGTCGATTAGATCCTCGAACACCGTATTATCGATTATTACCCCCATAATAGGCGCCCACATAACGGTCATTTCATCATCGGTCTGTGGGCAACAAGTCTGTAATCCTATCTTGCAGCCACTCGGCTCAAACGCTGCCCGAATAGCCGTATAATGACCTTAACAGCAGAAAATCAGAGTGATAACGCCCTCGGCTCCTTCAATGAGCGCATTTATGTGGTAGAACATATTGAAGGAATATGTATGAGTAATTGATATAGGTAGCCAGATCTTCTGGCTGTTCAGACTGGCCGTCTCTTTTGTTTAAACAGATATGATAGCTTTGCCATATTCTTTCTACAAGAAGTTCATTACCAGTTCTGTCCATGGTCAGCTGGATGGATCCAATGCGGTCCATTGTCAGCTGTATGGGCCAAGTTCAATGCATGGTCAGCTGTTTGGGCTCAGCTCAGACCATGGTCAGTTGAGTAGGTCCAATTCAGTCCCTGGTCAGCTATGGGTCCGATTCGGCCCCTGGTCAGCTGTTTAAGTCCAGTGCAGTCCATGGTCAGTCTAACGGGTCCCGTTTTGTTTCCGGTCCGCTGTATGGGTCCAGTTCAGTCCATGTTCAGCCGAATCTACCCAGTTCAGTCCATGGTCAGCCGTATGGCTCCAGTTTAGCCGATGGTCAGCCAGTTCAGTCTGTGGTCAGCCGAACGGGTCCAGTTTTGTCCCCGGCCGGCTCTCCCCGCCCGTCGGCGGTCCAATGGTCGCCGTTAACCGCAGAGCCGGCCGGAGTCGCCGCCGGCGCCGCTCCGATCCGCCACAAAGACTCAAAATAATGGCATGCGGCGGCCAGCGCGGCGGAACGAGGCCCGGCGGCAGCGCCGAATGGCGACCATCTCCCACCGCGGGTCTGACGGAGGGAGGGGGACTGAGGGGACTGAGGACAGGGGACTGGGGGATGATTCAGTGCTGAAGTTAGAAGTATAACAGATAAAAAATGTAAAATAAAAATAAACAAATTACTAAAAGACGGAACACTAGGTGCTTGAGGATCATGCACTGAAGGGAGGGAGAAGCAAAACTGTTGCGAGCCGAGAACGGAAGAGTATGGCGGGAAACTGAGAAGTGGGAGGGAGAAGCGAAAATTAAAGGAAAGGACAGAATGCTGAGAACTGAGTGGAGGGATGAGAAGGATAAAAGGAAGGGTGAGGAAGGGGAATGAGATCGGAAGCTGCAGAAGGAGCTGAAAAGTAGAAAAATAATGTCCGAGCGCTAGAGAGTAAAGTGAAGAAAGACAAGCCGATTCCCCTATTGATCGGATTAATCCCGTTGATTGAAAACTTGTTTTTTATCCGAACGCCATGAAAAGTCCGACGATAAAGGTGCAGATAAACACAGCCGTGGTGGTTTACAATCACCTATGCTTTTTCTGCTCTTTCATCTTTCTCTGCATGTTTGGCAAAGATCCGGATATTGCGCCGAGGATGAATTGTGCAGACAAGATGGATCGGACTCGTAAGGAGAAGGACGTGAAATGTGGATGGTTCCGGAAATGTTCTCGGAAAGCCGGAACTCGCTACCCGGCCTCGCCTCTAACTTACTGGCGAGACGACCGACCGAATCAATGGTCGAGCTCCATCGGAGAAAAGCGTACTCTTCTCATCACATTTTGGGAAGTCTCGGAGTGCTGCCGGCGGTGGCCGGTCAGGCCGTTACCCGCGGGCGGCCCCGCGGCGCCGACCGCTGCACTGCGGCCCGTGCCGTGCCTTTTCGTCCGGCGAGCTATCACTCCGGCCGGCCAAGTTGGGCACATAACGGCGGCTCCGGCGGGGATCGAGTCGTCATCGCCGGCCGCCGCGGCCCGGCCGGACGGTCACCGGGTGCGGAAATCTCGGCTCGATATCGGGTTTGCACATTTCTTGGGTTTATTGCAAGGCGCGGACGGCAAGGGATCCAGTCATCAATATTAGAGAGTGCGGCTGCGGCTTTATAACACCATAAAGGGCCAGTAGACGCCGACAGGAGGACGCACGGCGACGCTGTCTGGCGCGACGGGCGCGGGCCGCACCCGATTGGATTCATTTCAGGATTTGATTTATGGCGCCTGCTGATGTGTGGGCCAATTCAAATCCAAATCAGGCCGTTAATAGCTTTCAACTCGTTTGAGGAGACGTTTATAAGCACCGCTTCATCACGTTTTTGTACGCAGCCATGGCTGTGGTGACGAGTTTAATTGAGCGTCTCGCGTTATGGCTCATCCAAAATTCATTGAAATATCTGACGCTCTTTGAAGGCTGGTGCAATGTGATGACGAGGGTGATGGTATAAGGTGCAGTTCTGACACTGCTGGCCAGCAGTGGCAAGCGGTACACTGCCACTTTGGTAATTGCTGATGATCGTACGGAAACTATAAATGTTTTGTATTTGATTAGCCTGCTGTCTACCTGGTTTACCTATAACGTTCCCATCTGGGTCAACCTTTCGTTGTCTCCGAATTTCCACCCCCTCAAATTCCATCTGCCCACCGTGTCTCCTTTTCTCCGCCTCCCCGTATCCCGCCTCCCCGCTTCTCTGTTTCTCCGTCTCCCCGTCTCCCCTATCCCCCGTTTCCCTAGATCTCCCAGTCTCTCGGTCTCTCACATTTTCGTCTGCCCGTCACTCTTATCTATTATGTCTCCTCATCTGCTGCCTCCCTTCTCCCCGTCTGCCCTACTCCCCCGTCTCTCGTCTCTCGTCTCCCCATTTCCAAATTGTGCTCGCCGTCTCCCCGTCTCCTCCCGGTATCCCCGTTTCCCACCTTGTGCTCGCCGAGCTGGTGAACCACACAGGCCAGTGTGACATCTCGGTGTAGAGACACGGTCTGGTTGTCGATGGGCACTGCGAACGACGGTCTCCCCAACGGGCTGCGACCGCAACCACCTGCGGAAGGTGACGGGGTCAAGTCAGACAACATAGACGGGCAAACAGACACACGAGGAAACATAGTAACGGGCAGCTGATCACTAGGAGCTTCTTATCAGGCCCTTATTCAAGTGTCTTCGATGCCTATTGACTTAAATGTTATTCGTAAATGTTTTAACTATTAATAGATTTTCGTATAGATTTACGTTAATAGATTTACCTTTTAACGGAAACCGATTAACGTAAATGAGTTCAACAGTAAATATTTAATCGCTGGATCTGTATTTTATTTTAATGACAAATCGAATCATTGTGGCCTGAGTGTGAAAAATTTGATGCATGAACATTGTATGTATGTGTGTTGTATGTGTGTTGTGTAATGTGTATGTATGAAGATTGCATCACTACCCAACGTAATGCCCACTACTTTGTGGTTGTCGGGTGTACTGAAATTAGAAATAGTAATAATAATGATAATAATAATGATAATAATGATAATAATAATAATCATGTATAGTCATTTGGCTATTTTCTTTGCGCAATTGCATTACTATATTGCTCGCTTGTTGTCTTCCCTCCCGCCTCTCTCTCTCTCTCTCTCTCTCTCTCTCTCTCTCTCTCTCTTTCCCTCTCTTCCTCATCTCCACTATCTGTTTCCCCTCTCTTCCTCTCTCTCTCTTTATCTCAATCTCTTCGTTTCCCTTCCTCTTTCCTGGTCCCATATGTAAAGATAAATTGCCCTCTTGTTCCGGCTTTCTCACACCCGCTTTGTTTATCTTGGCCTCTTCTGGTCCAAGTCCGCTGAGCTCTTCCACGCCATCAGCAAATCGCCTTCATCGCTCTCACTTGGGTGACATACACGCGCCTCCGTGCGTCGGGTGTGTGTGTGGGGAGGGGGAGGGGCGCCCTGGAATCCCCATCGGTGTGGCAGCTGTGCCGTCGCATATCTGCTCGATTTTTACGGCGGCCGAGTTAGGCGGCCCGACGCGACACTGTCGGCATCACTTGACGGGATTGTCGGCGGTAAATGGTCCACGGGCCGCCCGGCGCCCCGCACACTGCTCTAAACATTCATAAAGCATCCCACGCACGTAGAGCGCGCTACTCGAGTGTGATCTATGTCCCGAATAAATCGCACATATGGCAACAAAAATAACCCAAATGTCGCACCGTTTTCGGCAGAGGATTTGTGATCTACCTCGATGTGAGGGACGATCGTGAATCGACCCGTGTAAAGGATGAGTGAGTCTTCTGCGGGAACTGTCTCCATAAGACATCTCCTCTCGTCATAGCCGGGCCATCGACTTAAACCGAGCGGTCGCCGGCCTGTGACACGTGTCTGGTACGGCGGCGCGGCGCCGGACGTAATCCACCGATCGGGGCCGACTCACCAACACGACGGCAATGCAGCCCGTCATCTGCAGCGCAAATCCAGCCATCGGCCGGCGGCGGCTCGGCGCCCGGCGTAGATGCATGTGCTCGGCCGTCGCTGATTGTCAACCGGGACAGGCGGCCGCGCCGAATGGACGGCCCTCGGCGGCCGGGTGGCCTGGGCAGTCGGTCTCGACGGCCGACGGACGGTTCAGGCAGTGTCAGAGCCCGACCGGGCAATCCGAGGGCTCAGCGGGACAAATCAGAGCCTGATGAGACAATGATCGGCCGGGTATTCCGCTCAGCTGATGGAGAGATTGGTGTGTGTCTCTGGAATATGTCAGTGAGAGAACAGAGGGATATTTCAGAAGGTAATGTGCTTCTTTGAACGGTGCTTTGGTGAAAATGGCATTCGATCAGGGCATCAGGCTCTACATGTGCGCAGCCATTCCTCCGCTGCCCTGAAATATCCCCAGAACAGCAGCTCAAACTACGGTATGTGATGCGAGGGCACGTTCCATTAGCCCTGTGAGCAATCGTCCGGCGTTCCACGTGGCGGCGTTTTGCATTAGCCTTCCTAACGGCGACTTTTTGGCTCCTCGGCGCGTTAAAGCACCGGTGGTTTTCAATAGGTGGACGCCGGGTCTGTGATGGATTGTTGCCGGGAAAAAGTCGGGTCAGTAGCACGCTAACGCTGAATGGGACTAACGTTAAATAACCGGTCTGTAGTCCATATGCCCTCAGCAGCTGGGGCAGTGCTGAACAAATTTCAAAAGAGGCTGCGGAGGAAAGGTCAAAGATTAAATCTGGGATGATTGATGGCTTAGCCTGCTCAAGCAAAAATAATAAGCGATCGCTTAGCTCAATTTATTTTGGGAGTTGGCAGCAGCAGAAAACAATCACGATCATTCGCCAGATAAAGCTCTATAGGAGTGCCTATTTATATGCGTCTTTATGCCAAGCTACATACAACCACAATATATACCATCTTGCACAAATCTTGATCGGTCTAATACGGGCACGAGCGGCTCCTCCTGTGGCGTAGGCCGCTGATGGGCACGTTCCCGACTCCCAGCAGCGCCGTGGTAGCGCTGTCGAACGCGACGGGCCCGTCAGGGCGACAGGTGACGGCGGGGTCTGTCACAGGCCGTGGGGGCTGTCGAAGACCGAGACTGGCAGGCGGTGCCGGGAGCTGTCTTCACCAGCCATTAGCTCCGCCGAGAGGGAGCCGTCGGCTGGCGCCAGCTCAGCTGTCAGCTGCCCCGGAAATCCATCACGATATTCGGCTCATATTTGAATCCGGCCGACTGCCGTGCGAGAGAATCACTTCCAGCAGAGTTAATGCATCAAGATTGGCCGGTGTTGGCCGAATCAATCGCACGCCCTAATGGCGGCCCATCACAGTCGGTCGCCCGCTGGAAGACGGCGCGCCGGAGGGCATTTGTCATCGCTTAACTCTGGCCAACAGATGCCGCCCGGCTGGGAATTCTCTCATGGTGGACTGCACTAACCACTCGGCCCGGAGACGCTTTGTCTCGGAAAATGGGCTCGGCCTTTTGTCTAATGGCTGAAACAGAAGTAACGGTAACAAATTTACTCCCTGGCGTTACTTGTAAAATATGCCAAATGCCTCGCCCACTTAATGGAAAAGGCTAATTGAGAACATCTTTTAACTTCCACGGTTCACCTCGGGGATTTTAAATCTTTATGAGACCGACGCCATTTGTTTCTGGCGGCTGGCGGCTGGCCCGGTCGGGCCGCCGGTCGGTCTATACCTTCTTCTCCGGACTGGAGAGTCTGAGACTCTCACGGTCGGCGGCTGACTCATCGGGCCACCGTCGGCCGACCCCGCGACTCTCCGACTCTGACTCGCGGCGGCACCGCACTCGCCGTGTCGCCGCCTTCTTTGTTCAACCGCACAGGGCCCACGATTGCTGGAAGAACAGCAGAGCGCAGTACCGCGCGGCGATTTAATCAAAACGATCTGCATAAACGGAATCGCAGTGCGGAAGCGGCGCTGGGCGCGGGCCAAATAGGCGGCGGGAGGGCGGGCGGCGCCGGATCGCGGGCGGAGCGGGGCGGAGCGGGGCGGAGCGGGGCGGTGCGGGGCGGTGCAGGGCGGTGCGCCGCCGCCCGGACAGACGACCCGGGCGCCGACGATGATAGGGCGTGTCGTCGCCGATGACGGAGCGGCGTATTCGTCTTTTCTTGCGGCCGTGCCGGCTGTAATGTGCCGTGCTGGCGAGGTCTCCAGAAGCGATCCGCTGCTGACAGATGGCGCCTCACCACTGATTGCCACGCCGGCCCGGGCCGCCGCCGGTGGCCCGGCACGCGACCGGGCGCCGGCGGCGGTGCAGTGTGTCGGTCGTGGCCGGAGGGGAGGGGCCGGCCGAACGCCTGTCAGACCGCACAGAATGCTGTCCGTCTCGCGGAGGGGAGGGGAGGGGAGGCGGAGGGCGGATACAGTGTGTCGGCGCCGACCGGAAACGGGGCCTTGGTGAGACGGTCTCGGCGCCCGCGCGGCCGTCTCCGCAGCGGAACGGCGGTCTCCGCGGCGGAACCATGAATCCGTCTGCAATGCTAATTCTAATGGCCGGGACGCCCGAGACAGCAGATATGGTTATCATAAACATAATGGTGTTGTGATGAATCAAAATATGCAGTCTTGCAATGTTTTTTTTTTCCATCGCCCGGCGGTACGTTCATCACTCGGCAGCAAGAAAACGATTAATTGGCCAAGCCAGTGTCAAACCTTATCATGATTTGAGCCCTGGCATTCTGATTTCTATGAGAATGATTGTAATCATTGACAATTTATACCAGTATAACGCCTTTTGGGGCGACTAACGGAGCGAGCGAGAGGGTGGGCCTTGCACGTGCGAAATTGCGAGGGGGTACCTCCAACTGACTTGTGCACGGCACCCTACTAACTGGTCTCTAGCGATGTGCCAAATTTGGGCACAATCGGCCCAGCCGTTCTCGAGATCTGGAAGCGGCACCCTGCACGTGCGCACGTGCAAAATGGGTCCCAACTGACTTGTGCACGGCACCCTACTAACCGGTCCCTAACCGTGTACCAAATTTGAGCGCAATCGGTCCAGCCGTTCCCGAGATCTGGAAACGACCCCTGCACGTGCGCACGTGCAGCAGCACCCCAACTCTGGCACATGTATAGGCAGTGCCTAGTGGGTGCCTACCAACATGCCAACTTTCAGCGCAATCGGCCAAGTAGTTACCGAGATATTGCAACAATTACAAAACGGACACCTCTTCGTTTTGCACGTGGCACGTGCATAAGGGGTCACCCACATGCATCAGGAATAGTCCAATACTTGGTAGAAGGAATGAAGCTACCCTACAAAAATTACCGCGTGTAAATCGGTCAAGTGGTTGCTGAGATATAAGCCTCGCAAAAGCGTGACCACGGCCGGCCGGCCGGCCGGCCGGCCGGCCGCTCATACTCAGAAATTTCCGTTAATCTAAGGAAAGACTACGCTCGCTTCGCTCGCTCCGTAATTACTCTTTGGAATATTGACTTTTATGACAAGGCACAAAAATCTAATGATCTACTAATTTTAACCACGCCATTTTTTAGTCAATGAACCCATGTACGAGACAGCAATTAATAAGCATAATGCTCTAAAAAG